TAGAAAAAAACCTCCAGGGGTATTCAAACTTGATAGCTTTAAGACTTGTGGACTTCAACTCCCAGAATTCCTCCTCTTGCTCTTCATGATGATGTGTGGATGGGCAGTGGGAGGGAGCTTAAACCAGTTCTAAACGGCACTGTAGATTTGTGGAATCTCTTCTATAGAAGAGGTTAGAACTGGCAGGAACCCATCCCTGGATTGTATTAACACTTAGATGTGAGTGGACAAGAAATTCTGGGGATATAAATTTAACTGGGAGGTTAAAAAAATACCTTGGAAGAATGTAGTGACAAACCACTTCCATAATATTGCCCCAAAATGTAATCATACAAAATCAACATGAAGAGCTCTTTAATTTACTTTATTTAAAAGCATTTCATTTAGTATATTGGTTTTAGCCGCTTTGAAAACCAGACCACAGGGTTTTCAAATTCAGACTTAGAAACATTGAAAGCAAAATGAGGTGTTTCTTAAAATTGAAGCGCTAGAATTTTGTTAAACTTAAATATATGGAAAGCTTTGTTATGAAAACTCCATAACAGACATGCATTTCAAGTCCTTAAGGTCTACTTCAAAATTATGTTGTGTACATGTACATGTATATGTATGTATGGCTAGTCTAGAGAATACCACATATGTATATCATATGGCTAGTCTAATGAAAAGAAGAACTAGTGGAGACATGATAGCAGTTTTCCAATATTTGAGGGTCTGCCACAAAGAAGAGGGAGTCAAGCTGTTCTCCAAAGCATCTAAAGGCAGGGCAAGAAGCAATGGATGAAAACTAATCGAGAGAAGCAACCTAGAAACTTCCTAACAGTGAGAACAATTAACCAGTGGAACAGCTTGTCCTCAGACGTTGTGCATGCTTCATCACTGGAGGCTTTAAAAAAGAGACTGGACAGCCACTTATCTGGAATGGTATAGCAGGGGTGTCAAACTGGTGGCCCGTAGGCCGGATGTGTCATGCACGGGTCACACCCACCCTGGCTCCACAAAGGTAAAAAATGTTGCGATACGTTGTGATTCATCACATGAAGCAATCAAGTTTGACACTCATGGTATGCTTGGACAGGGAGTTGGACTAGAAGACTTCCAAGGCCCCTTCCATCTCTCTTATTCTGTAAGCAGAACATATTTTTACTGTGGGATCAATGACACTATAAAGTGTCTTGTAAATCAGATTGTATGCTGATTTCCATTTTAAAATTCTTTTACTAAGTAACTTCAAACACTGAGTATAAACCAAATTAGCAGCAAAACCCTTTTAGCTCTGTTGAGCTCGTGTTGAAATGGTATGGGATTAAATACAGCATTGTTATCCAAAATTAATTTCATATTTCTAGAGTCCTACATGATACAGTTATTCTGATATTATATTTGTGTTCAGTTTCAAGGTGTCTACCATAATCACCAATTTTTTGGGGAAAGTAAAACTATTGGGGAGGAAAAACCATTGTTAACCAATACAATTGGTACCAACATTTCTGATTTTACAGTGGATCAACTATTTTTTGACAAATTCTGATGTGGATTACTTTTTTGAATGCATAGAGAAATCTTGTTTATTTTTTAAGAACACTTTCTCTCTCTCTCCATCTTCCTCCCAGCAATGACTGAACTGATTATTCAAAGGCTGATTCATACATCCATTGAAAATGTGGTTTGTCACATTTTGGAGATTCCACAGGTTTTTGTGTTAGCATGTTCAGTGATGCTGAAGGTAAAATAAAGATATTCTGGATGAATATTGATTCTGTTTATTGAACAGAATGTAATGCAGTTTGAAAGAAAGAAGTATTGAGTTGTTCAAATGATATTAGAGCTGGACCATCTGGAACAATTACTATTATGATATGGTCTCATCTGAATAGCTGCTGTTTAACTTTCCCAATCTTAACTCTATTAAACCTAAAGAAACATCATATGTGTGTAATTACAATAGCTACAGTAATCATATTTCATGAACTCTTTATCACTAGAAATCTTGAAATGTTGCCTAGTAATAGCAAAATAATGGCTTATATTCTATCATCTGAACATTATTGGTTAGCTTAAGGCCATCTTTGCTTTTATCTGTTGACAGATACACACTGGTGGATATTTTACGTGCCATCCTTCTTTCATTAGAAGCTATGATCGAGGACCCAGAACTTCAAGTAAATGGATTTGTTTTGATTATAGACTGGAGTAATTTCACTTTCAAACAGGCTTCTAAGCTGACACCAAGTATGCTTCGATTAGCCATAGAAGGCCTTCAGGTAAAATGGTTTTAATCGTTATTCATATTTTACTCTTCTCACTCCAAGCATCTCTCCTCAGTTCTTCCTGTTTCATATCAATCTAACAATGTTTTTTTTGCAGTTTAACAATTGGGATTTTAGATGACTACCGGTATGTATATTGTAGAATTTGAGAGTGAACTGTGAAGAATCAATTTGCTATCCAAGTGGTTCTTCAAACTTACAATGCTCAAGGTTTAAAGGTTTTATTTGATTTCTCAAATTTAGGAGCTTTAAATTGTTATTAAGAGTTGGACTATAACAAAACAAGCCAAGAAAGCAGATATACTACCGGGTTATATATCTTACATTATTATTCTGAAGCAAGGTTCTTTGTACAGTAAGAGCTACCATCAAGTGCTATACATTATGGAACAGTGAAGATATTTATACATTGCTAGTAGTCCTATTCAGGCAATACATTCATGTATAGATGTAGAAATACAAGGAGCAATGATCAGCCTTTCCTCTTTTTTTTTTTTTTTTTGCTTTTTGTATAGAAGAAAAAAAATGAGAAAAAAATACAAAATAAAAAAAATAGTCAGAATAGTATAACTACAAGATAAACTGTATGTGTTCATGTATAACTATGGGTTTCATGTATGTACACACAGACACATGTATATATGTAATTATATATACATACAGTATATATTTACATATGAACACATTTTTCTATAATAGTTTCAATAAAAAATAACTATAAATATTTAGTTATTTTAAAAAATATAAGGGCACCTGTATATTTCTTAAGCAATTAACAGACAGTTGTTACCAATAATGGAGAATATTTGTATTTTAGGATTGAAATGAGGGGTCCTTGGTGCTATAGGAGCTTGGTTGTTTTCTTGCAGATTTTCATTACACAAACTAGGTAACATCATCAGTGCTAGTAAAGATTAACCCAGCAAATAAAAAAAGAACAGGACCACTTCTACCAACACTGACAAGGCAAGCCACTAGAATATAAATTGAGCACAAATCCCATTTCTTACTAGCACTGATGTTACCTAGTTAATGAAATGTCTGCAAGAATGCAATCAAGTTCCGAGAGCACCAAGCACCCTTCAGATGTTTGTTAACTATTTTTCATAGCAACTTTCCATGCATGATGAATGTCTGAGGGAAACTTGCGACATTGATTGATGTAGAGAAGAGCTGGAATGACCTTAAGTAAAACCCACTCTCAAGACAACCTCCAGATAAAAAAACCACCTCTGTTCAGGATAATGAATGTAACCTGAGAAAATGTCTCAGAAAAGTCCTTCCCTAGTTCTCATGAAGATAAAGGAAAGGAGAAAGGAAGCATTATTGCAAGATTTGTTACTATGGCTTTACAATAAAAGTTGTACTACATGATATTGGATTCCTAGTCTGATCTACCCTGAAGGGATGACAGGTCTTCAGTCCATGGATAGCTGAGGCCATAAATATGTTTCCTTGTTGTTGAAAGTCTGATCTCTTGGCAATGGTAAAGGGGGAGGAGGTTTAGTTGTTCATCAGTAGAGTGTGGTTGCCCTTTGATGAAATATGTTTCAGTTTTTAAAATGGCTCTGGAAAATATGGTTCTATATGGTGAAGGTTTAACATGTTATTTAAAAACTAAAATATAATAATGGCAGATGACACATTTTACTTTGGCATCATATAGTATGAAAAACCAGATTTCCTCAACTTGGCATTCTCTAGAAGTGTTGCATTATGTTTGTATTATTCCCACACACCAGTAGGATGATGGGAGTTATAGTTCTTTGACAGAATACCACTGGCAGAAGAAAAATCCCCATGGTGAAACTGCATCCGTCATGCACTGTCCAAATATTGTTCTTTTACTGCAAACTGATTGTAAGGAAGAAAATGTTCCCTTCATACTTGAAATAATGAAATATTTTCAAACTTCTATGAAGCAAATTAAAAAAACATCTGGATGAGTATTTATGTATTCTAATACTGACCACCTGAAGAGAATTTGCCAAAATGTTGCTTGTCACTTCTACAGAGCCCTGATATAAAAAGCCCTTTCACAAACATGTTTTGTGGACACAGTACCCAGCAGAAAGTTAGTGGATTCTGTTGATGGTGTCTTCTTTTGCAAGGAGATCAGTTTTGCTCTTTGCAGTCATAGAAGTGCACAAATGTGTTTGATGCAATTTCTCTTAAAGTATAAAAATAATTGTTTTGCTGAGCAAGGGTGTGTACATGATTCATGATTATTCTTTTGTTCTATGTGCCATGGAGGTAAATGAAAGCTTCTGATTGGGAGGGATATTTTTTCTACTTTCTAGGGTGGAACATCTTTTCTGCCCACCCACCCCACTCCACATTCCTGGAATATTTAAATATTAGGAGGGAAAGGGCTTTCTGACTGCAAATTTAGATGTAGGTAAAGGCAACATTGAATTAGAAGAAGAGACTTATTACAAAACTGTTTTTAAAAAGAAAACTAACCCTTTAATGGGCTGACTAGAGTTGTTTCAACATTTCCTGTCAGGTTGACCTCTTACTCCAGGGGAGATAATCAATGGAAAGAGTTTACATCTTGTGTGAGGAATCAAAAACAGAGTGATTCAGCTTGAATAGTTATATACTCGGGCAAATTGTTGCTTTAATTCAATGATTAGGGTTAAAGCAACAGATCCGGGTTATGAAATTCTGTTTGGTCACTAGATGGATGGATGGAAAGATTCAGAATTTAATGCCACCATTGTCACCATGTAATAAACAAACAGACTTTTGCAGCTTGTTTCTAATCTCATGGAACATCCAAAACTGCTCTGGATTTTCTTTTGTTCTGACTGAATATGGTTTTGTTTCATCCAGGCGAAGGCCAGTCTTGAATGGGTGATTGGAACTTTGGATGTGCAAAATTTTGGTTTGAATTTTCAGCAAAATAGGTTTTCGATTTCATGGACACATTAGCTATTAGCTATTATGAGGTGGTGATATGACTGAAGCCAGACAGATCTAAGGTCAAGTAGTCCACCAGCTGTCACACTCTCAACCTAACAAGGTTGCTATTGAAAGAGTAAACATGAAGAGTGACCTCTCACACACTGCCTTTAAAGCCTTAAAGGAAAAACAGAATACATAAATAAAACAAAAACACAAATATTTATAAATGCACAAGGATTCTAGACGTAATAATATCAAACATTTCCCATCAAATATTGAACTGAAATAAACTATCTCTAAGACATTGATGCACTATCATTGACAAAACATTAAGAATAATTAAGATACTGAACCCTTCTATTTCATTATCCATTAGTTATGTTTAAAGTCCTGCCTCAAAAATACCCCCAAAGATAATTATGTGTCCTTTCATTTCCTATAATTTAAAAAAGAAATAATTTCCACTATTAAATATCAATGAATCCTTTCAAAATTATTTTTTGTACTGATACCTGCTGATCAGGTGAATCCAACTGATTTTTCATTTATGATGTCTTCTCATTCACTAGCGTATTGTGAAGCTATGGCCTTATATCTTAAAAACCACTTGCCAGATCTGACCAAAATGCTGATGACAGGCAGAGAGCAGAGGAAACATTTTATGTTGTTTCTTTGACACAATGTTCAATGTGTACACCAGAATCTTGTCTATCTCTATACCAAGGCATGCTAGATAAATATTGCTGCATAAAGCATAATGTTACCTTGATAAACTGAAATACTCTTTCATCAGTTAATTTGAATTTGATTTGCCTCACAAGACTTTGCATTGCAAAGCTCAAAATGGCTGGCTGCATACAAAATACTACCATTCCCGGAAATTAATTGCTTTTATAGGAAAAGAAAAAGGAAATAGAAATTGTAACTGCCTCAGGATTATCAGAAGTAGGGAAAGATAGCTGTCTCCAGAGAAATTGCAGTGCCTGCAGAATAATTCAGACTGTTCAAAAATTGGTACCAAAAAATCTCAAGGAGGATATTGCAATGTTTTTATGAAATATTGTGAACTGCCTAGAATCAGCATTTAAGATAGGTGACTATATAGATCCTGTAAGTAACCACCAGACTCAAAAACCAAGAAAGACATGTGTTGATTCTTTCAAGCTCTTTATTATTGCATGCCTTCAGACAGAATCTTGCCAAACTGGAGCAGTCTGCTTGCTGCCTCTACCATATACCATCTATAAGAATCTGAACTACTAATGCTTAAAGCAAATTGGTGGTAGGTAAGAGTCAATGGAATTCAAGGTGGGCTGGACTTCTCTTGTGGGTGCAAAGGGATTTGCGGTGGATGATGCACTTAACCCTTTCCTCAGGCTCTGCCTGGTCATCACATACATCTGGTTTCTTATTTTATTCATTCCTGTTTCAGAGCTTGGGGCATGAAACTTGAAGAGAGGAGTTTTCCCTGAGACAGGAAGAAGTCTTAAGCCCTCCCTTCTTTTAGTTAGTTTTTCCAGGGATCAAAAAGCTGTTTCATAGGTTTTACTGTTCGAGACTGAAAATATGGATGATCACACAACTTGAACCTCCCAAGTTCTTGGATGGCCTCCCTATATCAAGAAGGCAGAGATAGGGGGAGGGGGGAAGTGAGGGATGAGTAGAATGAATATGAAAGACAGATGCAAGATGTGGAGTGGTGGATGGACACAGATAAGGGGCTACACCTGCCATCATACTAAGCTATTCGGCATGTGACCACAAAACCCCTTTTCAGTACTCCTGCTGAAGAGTTAGTCATTTTTAATCACAACATAAAATAGTGATTTCTGGTTACTGATTTTTATTAGTCAATAGCTCAAATAAACTTTGCTTTTGTTATTGGACTAAGCTGAGTTGGTAGACGAACTAGGAAAATAAGTTTTCCAGAGCAGATGTTTAACACTTTTCATAACACCAGACTGTTGAGAACATGTTAAGAGAACAAATATTCAGGTGATCGATGGAAGTTCCCCTTGTTACATTTATTTTGAGTACAAGTTAAAGTGGCTGGTATTATAATTTGGCTCTGTGGGTAGCACGAAAGA